ACCGGCCGCCGCGCCAGGCCCGGACGATGCTGAGGGGACAGCGGACACCTCCCTGTGCCGCCTGTACCGGCACGTGTCGCACGACTTCCTGGAGATCCGCTTCAAGATCCAGAGGCTGCTGGAGCCGCGACAGTACATGCTGTTGCTCCCCGAGCACGTGCTGGTCAAGATCTTCAGCTTCCTGCCCACGCGGGCCCTGGCGGCCCTCAAGTGCACCTGCCACCACTTCAAGGGCATCATCGAGGCGTTTGGCGTGCGGGCCACAGACTCGCGCTGGAGCCGCGACCCCCTCTACCGGGATGACCCTTGCAAGCAGTGCCGCAAGAGATACGAGAAGGGCGACGTGTCGCTCTGCCGCTGGCACCCCAAGCCCTACCACCACGACCTGCCTTACGGACGTTCCTACTGGATGTGCTGCCGCCGAGCCGATCGCGAGACGCCTGGCTGCCGCCTGGGTCTGCACGATAACAACTGGGTCCTGCCCTGCAACGGGCCAGGCGGTGGGGGCGGCCGGGCTGGCCGGGAGGAGGGGAGGTGAAGCCGGGGGAGGGGGGGGAGAGCCCACCATGCCCACCCCCTCCCCCTGGGAGCTGAGGGCCAGGACTGAGCCAGCAGCCCCTACCCCCAGTCCAGGCAGCGCTGACCCCCGTCCAGAACTGAGATGGGGCTCGGGGATGACCCAGGACGACACTCGGGTTGACTGACCCCATTGGTTTTCTACTTTTCAGACCCAGGGCCGTGGACCCTCAAGTAGGGTGTTTTTTTAATCAGCATCTCAATTTCTTCTCCAGCCCCAACACCCTCCCTGCCACTCTCTACACCCCAGGGACCCACCAGCAGGGAGCAGACGGCAGCTAATTTTGGTACTACTTAAGAGTTCCCCCATTCTGGCCCCCTTCTGCTCCTTCCTCCGATTCTTTGTCTCTGGAGCTGTGTTCTCCCAAGAGGCTGCAGCACCCAAGGTTGGGTCCTCTCCTAACCGGTGACACCAGGGCTCGCCTCCTCCTTAGGAGTTGGGGGCCATCAGATCACAGATCAAATTTGGCACATTTCCTGGCAGCCTGCCATTTCTAGATGTTTTCCCCATTAAAACAATAAAAACCGCTGTTTTCTCTTTAACCTCAAGCTACCTGTCTCTCTAGTTCCCCTAAAGGGGAAGAGGAAAAAAAAAAGTCAAAAGTATAAAAATCCCCCCTCTCCGTTATTTAAGCTATTGCCATCACTCCCCCCCCCACCAAAAAAAAAAAAAGAAAGCTGTGAAGCCCTCTGCCTCGCTCTTGACAGCGTGGGGGGCCGGTGGGCAGGGACTGTGGGTTTGAATTTCTGGCTTGTTTTTCCTTCCACTCTACTTGTTCAGGCATTGGGGTCTCTCCGTCCCCAGCTACATGTGTTTCTTTAGAATCTTTTGCTCATCTGAGACCTTGATTTTCAGGCAATTGGTCTGGGGTATTTTTGTTTGTTCTGTTTGGGGTTTCTTTTTGTTTTTTTCATCATTGTGGTTCTGGAAGCTTCTAGCTTGTGGCATCTGACCAGTTTTGCATTGGTCCTTTCTATAAAATCAATATTTATAAGGCTGGGCCCAGACTGGTTTGTGTGTTGTTCAGGGAGGGGGTGTGGGGGAAAAGGGAGTCATGGGCCCGTGTATGGTGGGATGGAAAAAGTTGAGATAGTTTTTATTTCTTTAGGAATTCAGTGTTGGGCAGGTATGGTGGCCCTGAAGTCATCAGGAACCCAGCCTCCTTCTAGCTCACTATTCCATCCTCCTTTGGCTATGGCCCTCATCCTCATGGTGCACAATGGCTGCTAGAACTCCAGCCATCACCATTTTGCATGAAGGGAAGCCTGCTTCTTCCCAGAAGTACTACACTACACTTCTTTATACATCTCCCTGGTCAGAACTTAGCCATATGGAAGGGCTGCAAGGGAGGCTGGGAAATGCAGTCTTTTAGTTGGGTGCATTATGCCCAACAAAAAACTCTTTTACAAAGATCCCTGTAATTAAAGCTTTAAAATATTCACTTAATTTTTTACTAAAGAAAAAGGGGGAATTAAGACATTTTAAAAATTCAAGTATAAAAGAAGAGGGGAAAATGGATATTGAGAGGCAGCTAAGTCTCTGACATTCTTATCAGAGAACCAGAATTTCCAGAGAGAGTAGGATATCTCAGAGTAGTTATTTAATACTTAGATTTTAGAATCAAAGAGACCTGGGTTTGAATCTTGGCTTGGTTTTGTAGGACTTCAGTTTCCTGTGGAGGAAGGGCCATATTATTTGGACTATCCTGCTGAAAAAAAGAAGTAAAAAATCTTAAAAGCATCAAATAGCCAATAAAATACAGTTAAGGATACACTAAGCCAAAAATTTAAGGGTGAGGGTACATGGGGCCCTGAAACCACTTCTGCTCGGAGAGCATTTGCTGATGTGAACAAATTTGGGTTTCCTACTTGTAGCCTTACTGGGACAAGCAGGCAGAAGTGAAGGCTAGAGCCTGCCCAAGGTGGAGAATCTGATAGGAGCTGGCATCACACCGCACTATAAGCTCAGGTAAGTATGACCCAGAAGACTGCAGAGATGTTCTGAATGGCGAGGGAAGCACAAGACCAAAGGAAAGAAAAAAGCAGACCCTGAGAATTGGTCACAGGCTGGCCCTTGGCTCAGGTTTGCAGGCCAGGTCTGCATTACCTATGTGTTCCGGGGTACTTCTAGCTCAGGTGTCTGGCAGAAACAAATGTAAATCTTCTGGTGGAAAAAACCGTCATCTAGAATCACCACCAATAATTTTCCAGACAGTTAGTACATAGTTAAATAACCAAACATGCATGGAAGTAACAAGAACCAGCAGAAATGAGAGCAAAAACATACCCACAAAGGTTTCAGATGGTGAAACTGTCACTCGCAGATTATAATGCAAGAGCCTGGAAATATGGGCAGGTAACCCAGACCTGAAAAATGGCCTACCAGCTATGGAAAGAAAAAACCCACAGACATACACTAACCAAAGTAATAACTCAGTGGCTGGGCTGCATGGCAGATTAGACACAGCTAAAGAGAGATTTATTGAACTAGAGTTAGGTCCAAAAAATAGCATGGAGACAAAAACAAAAGAAAAAAAAAACCTGAGTCAATATGAAAGAAAGGTTACAGAGGACATAGTGAGAAAATGTAACACATTAATTGGCATTCTAGAATGAGAAGAGCAAACAGTGCAAAGATAATATTTAAAGACCCGATGGTTGCGAAGTCCAGACTGGTAAAAGATTAATCAGCCCAATGAGTCGTAAGCAGGATCAATAAAAACAAAATGTACACCTGGCATATTACAGGGAAAGTGTCTAGCTATGTGATATGTGGCAACTGATTTCTCTGAAGCTCAGTTTCTTAATCTGAAAAATGCAGATACTGACAGTTCCTCAAAAGGTTGATATGTGCAACATCACGTGTAGCATGCTCAACAATTGTGCCTATCAGATACACCACCTAGTGGCCCCTCCATAGCGTGAAACTGGGGAAGCCCAAGTCTGGGAGATGTGGGAGCTGGGGAAACACTGCCTTACCAAGCTTCAGCAGCCTTATCCATAAAATGAAGCTCATAATCCTTACCCCGAATTCAAGCAGAAAATGTGCCTCAGGCCCCTTGCTCAGTCCTGGTGTGTTGCACACTCAACCAGGAGGTGGTGCAGTAAGGCGTTGAGGGCCAGGGCTGTAACTGACACACTGCTTCCCCTCGCTAACATGGAGACAGTGGTCTCGCCTACTTCTGGGGTGGCTGTGACGCTAAGGGGACATGGTGCACTTTCAAGTACTTGGCACCATGCCTGCCACACAAGAAATGAAGAAACCGGAACTGTCCCTGTGGTTTGAGACCCTCGCCACCCCAGCTGTTGATGAATGTCACTTCCCTGTCTGAACTCTGGACTTCTGCCAAGTCCGCCTCTAAGAGGCCATTAGTCCCCTGCCCTGACCCCACTCTAACTTGTGGCCAATTAAAAGCTTCAGGAGCTACTGTTTGTCAACAATCTGTTGGTCCAGCACAAGTGATTTCTGGAAGGGAGGTAGGACATGGGGTTAGGAGCACAACTGTGGGTGAGAATCTGGGCTCTGTAACCAGCTGGTTGTCACTCAGCCCTAGCCACTTCATTTGCAAAATGAGAACGGAAATTGTACCGACCTCAGGATGTGGGGGAGACTAAATGAGCTGATGTAAAGTGCTCATGGTGCCTGGCATACAGTGGGTGCCCATAAATTCACTGTGGAAGAACGTGAATTGAGGACCTTCAGTTTGTCCTCTCTTATTTGATATCCTGAGTTTCAGCCCATGAGTTCTCTTGGGTCTTCTCCAGCCTTGAGTTGGCTTGGAAGGCCGATGCTCACCTTCACTACTTAATAACCCTCCATCCTGGCCTGGCGTCCCTGCTGCCTATGGGGTCTCCATCCAAGTCACAAAATCAGCAGGCATAGAGCCCAGCATAAGACTCCCTTTCTAGGCGCCCTCCATTTTACGGTTTTCTTTAGGTTGCTAAGCTGTGAACGCACCAAACTGTAACCTTAAGGGCCGCGTGTCCCAAACTTTGCTGATCCTGAGTCTTCCTGAGGTGCTGGTTACAGAGTCCCAGCGGCTCCCTGGGGTTCTGATTCAGTAGGTCCCCCCCAGACTAGAATGGGAGTCTGCATTTTTTAATAAGCAGCCCTGTTGAGTCTAAAAATGAAGAGTTGGGAAATAAATCCTCAGGCCATCACTAGAGGCAGTTACACGCACTGTCTCGCACTCCTGTACCCACAGCTGAAAGGGAAAGGATGGTTTGGTGTAACTAGTTTGCAGTGATTCTAGGTCTGTCTGACCCATTGCTACCATAAGTGCACTCAAACTATCAAAACCCAGTGTTTCCCAAAGTATATTCTGAGGTACCCTAGTTCTGTGAGGTGCTTCCCAATAAAGGGGTTCCATGGTGAAATACTTTGGGAAAACACTGCACTCTCCATCTTACTCTTGAAAATTCACATTGTGCAATGAAGAAACTCATTTAATATTGTTCACCCTGCTTTTTTAATCCCCTTTTTCATGCAACACCTATTTGTGCTAGTTCTGTAGAATACGTTTTGCAGAAACACTGGTTTAATGCCCATTGGAGCTGGCAGAATCGAGAGTTCTCAAGTATTGGCTTCCGTCTCCTCTGTTCCTGCTTATGAGCGCATCCTCTGTGGGCCCCACATGGCGTATCCATGTGGAAGTTAGGTTTGGACTGGTGCAGTAGCAAGGCTGCCATTCTGCAGAACAAACTGACAGAAAAACATGAGCCACAGGGAATTCATTTGGTTGGGTTGTATTGCTGGTCCAGATGCCAATGCGAGGTTTGCTGACTAAACCTGAGAACAGCATTTGGCCTCTGCAAACTTTCAGCCCAAGTGTTTCCCTCAGGGCAGGGCCGAGCTCTGATTCCTTTGGTGGTCACCCCCATACTGGTCTCTTCTATGTCTTTGAAGAGTGGCAGCTTAAGATAGTCAAAGGAAAGAGGGTCTTCCAATCATAGCCCAAGCAGAGCCGAAGGTATTAAGGACAAGCCAGCACACCCCAGGCGGGCCCGGTTTGAGCTCCATTGGCTCCAGGTGCCCTCGGCACGTCTCCTGCTGGACACTTCTCCTTCAGAGTCAGCCAGGCAGGCTAGAGCCCCAGGTATTCAGCCAGGAACACAATGAGGATGCGGCTCAGGTTATGTACTGTGGGTGGGTGCAGGTTGGCTTCAGAGTCATCAGGCGTGTGCCAGACAGAGGGGAAGGGCGTGGAGATGAGGTGGAGCACCGGGACCCCTGCGGGAGAGAGAGGAGACTCGGTCAGGCCCACGGCTGACCCAGGAGCCCAGGCCCAGGCCTGAGTCACCTTCCCTCGCTCCCCCGCCACTCCCCCGAGAAGATACTCCGTTCCGGCACTTGAAGAACTCTGAACAATGACTGTAAGTGTGTGAGGGCAACATATTAGTTTAAAAAATATATCCAGTATGTCTATTGTTTTCATAACACAAATTAGAGAAACTCAAAACTTCATGGATTATGGAAAGACCAGAAGAAGGGAAAGATGTCTTGGACCCTCCTCTCCAGTTATACATTATTAGGCTCTTTTTCTCTTCTGTATTAGTAGTTAGCACTTATATAGTACTTGTTCTATTCCAGGCCCTAGTTTAAGGCCATACATCATACACACACACCCTGTTTTATCCTTATAATAATCCTTTAAAGTGGGTGCTATAATTACCCCCATTTTACAGATGTGGACACTGAGGCACACAGAGTGATTTGCCTAAGGTTCTGCCTCTTGTAAACAGTACAGTCATAATGTGAACCCAGGCCGCCTGTCTCCAGAGTCACTGCTCGTAACCCCAGCACTACATTGGGTTCCTGTCCTCAGAACGCTTCCCTCTGTGTTTGTCCTGATTTGCTAAATATCTGTCCCCCCACTAGACAGGAGCCAGGCGGATTATGGGCCATCACTGTATCCCTGACACCTAGCTCAGTACCTGCCTTGGGAAGCATTCATCGAATGAATCAATAAAGAAGTAGGGAATGCATGTTTGTTGAATGAGTAAATTATAGAGTAAAAATTTAAAAGGCAGTTTTTAGCACTTGCTAGATGCCAAGCACTGTGTAAGTAGGCATTTTATATACCTAATCTCATGTAATCCTCACCAACCCTGTGATGATGAATATACACACACATTTGTGTTAGTATGTTTATATCTCTTCATCTTCCAGAAGAAATGGGGGCTCAGAGAGGCTAAGTAATTTGCCTTAGGTCAACCAGTGGTAAATTGCAGATCCTAGAACCCAGACCTGTCCAGTTCTAAAACCTATGATATGAACCCCTCTACCTGGCCTGAAATGTGACTGGGCACTTTTTTTTTTTGGTGAGGAAGATTGGCCCTGAGCTAACATCTGTTGCCAATCCTCCTCCATGTTTCTGGTTTTTCTTTTTGCTTGAGGAAGATGGCCCTTGAGCTAACATCTGTACCAATCTTCTCTATTTTGTATGTGGGTCACCGCCACAGCATAGCTTGATGAGCGGTGTGTAGGTCCGCGCCCAGGATCTGAACCCGTGAACCCAGGCTGAAGTGAGCATGCGCGAACTTAACCACTACGCCACCAGGCCAGCCCCACGACTGGGCATCTTTTGAAGCTCCTCAGGTGATTCTGCTGGGCTGCCAGGACCTTGAAAGGCAAAAGCTAGAAGAAACTGCAATTATTGAGGCTCAAACAATAATATTGAACATTTCGTGAATGCTCCCTATGTGCTGGGCACTGGGGCAAGCTCATTACATGTATTAACGCATTCAATCCCCTACCAACAACGCTGAGACAGGGGCTATTATTATCCCCATTTTACAGATAAGGAAATTGAGGCACAAAGAGGTTAAGCCACTTGCCACCAGTCCCCACCTCTGGGAAGGTGCCAGGGCCCATCTGTGGCTCCCTTGGTGCCCTGCCCCCCACCCCTCCCTATAGCAAGTACCTCGGCGGAGGAAGGGGACATGGTCGTCCTCCACAGAGCCAAAGGGCTCCCCAGGCTGGAAGTACATCACCTCCTGGGGATGAGACTGTAGCAGGTTCAAACGGTGCAGGCGCTTCTCTGCAGGTGGTGGGGATTAGAGAGCAAGAGTCAGCCCCTCAGGGTCAAAGGTTGCCCTCCTCACCAATCAGAGGAGGGCAGGGGGGCTGGGAGTATAGCCCTGATCGTCCCAAAAAGAATGAATGTCAGTTACCCCTACTGCAGTCTTACCGTGTTCCTGGTCTCAGTTAATCCCTCTGAGTCTAGGAGGGAGATCCCCATTATCATCACCATCATGTCCATTTTACAGACAGGAAATGGAGGCTCAGAGAGATGAAGCCCAAGTTCACACAGCTGGTAAGATGCAGAGCCAGGATTCAATCCCAGGGCTGTCTGACCCCTTAGTCCCTGTTCGTAATCACTACCCTGACTGCTGTGGGATCGTTTTGTGTTTCTGCCCTAGTGCCTTAGAGAGAGAGAAAAGGCTGGAGGACCCCTTAGAGGACCGATGCCTGTCCCATCCCGGCCCCCGTCCTGCATCCCAGGCTGGTGCCTGCCTCCACCTTTCCCCTTACCGATGCTCCGCAGTCGATGGAACCAGCGGGCCGTGCGAGGGAAGTGACTGTAGAAGGTCGGGTTGGGGGCTCCCAGGAGATCCAGAAGCATAAAGAGCTCCTAGGAAGAGAGGCCAGACTGGAGAGGCCAGGTGGAATGCTCCAACCTCACATCACCCCCTCCCCACCTCGCCAGAACCCAGTGGGGCCCTAGTCTTACAATGGCCTGGATCCTGGTGGGGCCGGGACTGTGGGGTGCAGACTCCATGAGCTGGGCCAGGTGCCGGGAGCCATACAGGGAGTCCTTGGGTCCCCACTCCTTCAGTGCCTCCTCACCGTCCAAGAAGAGCAGCTGCAGGGTCACCGGGGCCGCCTGCGGGAGCCGGTGGTCAGGACCAGCTCGCTGCCAGCCCTCGCCTCAAGCCACCCACGTGGCTTTCCTGCCCGCGTGCACAGCTGAGTGGGGCAAACTAGCCAAGAGTACAGACTCTGAACCAGGCCGCCTGGGTTCAAATCCTGGCTCAGCCACTGCGTAGCCGATCAGCCACGGGTAAGTTACTAACTTCCCAAAGCATCTGTTTCTTTATGTAGAAATGGGGTTCGTCCAGGTCTAATCATAGGGCGGGATTCGAATCCAGGTCCTCGATCAGTGTCTGGCCTATAGTAACTAAATAAGGGTTGGCTCTGATTATTTTCATTATTCCTCAAGCTTGTTTAGCAAAAGAGACAGACCTACAAATGAATAATTATACAAACAGCGAAATGCAGTTGAGACAGATGCTTCCGAGAACTACAGGGTCCTGAGAGCGCGTAGGAAGGGGGCGGAGGATAACCTCGCTCAGGAAGCACATCTGGGTCTGTTGGGAAGGGATGTTCACATGGAGAGTGAGTGGGAGCTGGTCTGGCAAAGCGGAGCAGAGGGAAGAGTGTTCCCAGGCAGGGAAGCAACATGGAGCAGGGCTGGGGCGAGAGGGGTTTGAGAAAAGGCCCGAGGGTTCAGCAAGGGCCAGGGAGCTTGGGGCACTGGGGTTTGAGCCATGGAAGGGGCTGAGCAGGGGAGGAGCGTGAGGGGACTTGTGTTTTCATTCATTCATTCCATACATTTTTACTGACTTCCTCCTCTATGCCAGGCAATATTCTGGGCCCAGGAAATACAGCAGGAAACAAAAGCAGCTAAGTCCCTGCCTATATGAGGCTTATTCTAGTTGGGGAGACAAACAAGTCAACACAAAGCAGCATAAAGCATGAGATAGTGCCAGGAGCTATTTTAGGGGGGTTGGGAAGGCCTCTTTGAGGAGGTGACTTCGGAGTGGACACCTGAATGAGGGTGGGAGCCACCCAGGAAAATGTCTGAGAAAAGCACATTCTGGGCGGAGCAAACAGCAAGTGCAAATGTCCTGTGGTGAGAGTGAATTTTGTGGGTTTGAGGTACACGGATGAGGTGGGTGGCTAGAGTGGAGTGAGCGAGGGGTGAGAGGTGGTAGATAAGACTAGAGAGGTAACAAGGCACACCTCATGGGCCACTATAAGGACTCTGGCTTATGCGTGGAGTGAGGTGGGAGCCATGGAAGGGCTCCCAAAGGGCAGAGGAGGGACAAGATCTGACATTCAGAAGGTGGAAAGATCCCTGTGGCTTTGTGTGTGGAGTAGAGGCAGGAAGACAAAACCAGGTAAGGGAGGGTGGTGGCTTGGACCAAGGTAGAGGCAGCCCCGACTCCCACCCTTCCCCTTCCCCCACTCCTCACCTGATTCTTGGCTCTGCTCAACTCCAAGTCAAGGGCTTGGGCCAGCTCCAGGAGCAGAGCGCAAGGCACAGCCGAATCCGTGGCCCCCACGAAGGGGGCCGACCCAGATGGGAAGAGCTTGGAGTCGTAATGGCAGGCAAGGGTGAGGTGACGGGCAGCCCCTGGGTCAAGTGTGGCCACCACGTTGCCAAAGTCCAGTGGCCCCAGGGGCGTCGAGGCCGTGAAGGGGTCCAGCTCCACATGCCAGCCTGCCGTCAGGGCCCGAAGCGTGGCCTCCAGGAACTAGTGGCGAGAGAGGCGGGAGGGTGGGTGGGGACTGGGGAGAAGGGCCATGTGACCTGAGCCGTGCAGAGCAGCCAGGTTGACTCACAAGTACCACTGTGGTTTAAATCATTCCCTTGACACACTTCTGCTGAGTCTCTACTGAGTGCCAGGGGCGGGGTGATCCCGCCCCTTGATGCCAACAAGATTAATCACAGCTCCCTCTTCAATAGCACTAGGAACCCTGTGGGGTAGGAACTGTCAATGGCTCCATTTTGCAGATAAGGAAACAGGCACAGAGAGGTTAAGAAACGAGTCCAAGGTCACACTCCAAGTGGCTGAGGTGAGATTTGAACTCAGGCAGTGTTCACGTGACTCTCCATGCTTTCTGGGAAGCAATATAGAGATGTTACAGCACCAGCTCTGGAGCCAACCTTTTTGGGTTGAAACCCTAAGTATACCATTTATTAGCTGTGGGCTTTGGACAAGATGCCTAACTGCTCTGGGCCTCAGTTTCCCCATCTGCATAAGGAAGATCACATTGGTACCCACCTCATAGGGCTGCTCGCTTTCGGTGGGGGCAGTACAGCCTGGTGATTACCAGGTGGGACTCTAGAGCCAAATTAGCTCCAATCAGAGCCCCAGCTCTGCCTCTTAGCTGCTTTGGGATCTTAGGCAGAATGCCTATCTCCTGTTCCCTGGCGGGCTGCGGATCAGGGGTTGGAGGCGGGGCCCTTTACCTTTCTGACTTGGAGATTGCCCGGGCTGCCCGGGGTCCGTACAACCAGCAGGGGGCGCAGATAAGCGTTCCAGAGACGCTGTGGGTCCAGACGCCCCACCACCTTCCGCAGCCGGGCTTCGGGGAGGCTTCCGATCAACGGGCCCTTGGGAGTGGGGTGGGATGGGGCAGAGAAGAGCAGAGTGTGATAACAACCCCCATTCCGACCCTACCCCGGGCGCCGCCACCCCTAAGAAGCCCCAATTCCTCTCGCTAATCGCGGTCTCTAGCATCGGAGGTTTCTAGGATAAATTCTAGACTCAGGAAAAGTCCCTCCAAGCCCATCCGGTCCAGCCCACCCCAACCCTGATGGGGAAATCGAGGTCCAGCGAGAAGAAGGGACTCCGCCAAATAGCTGACTTTAGGATTAGAACCCAGAACTCTGTCTTATTACTCCAGACCCTTCCTCTTAAAGCGGAGCCACTGTTACAGAACAAGCCCGAAGCTTCATTCCATTGGCAAGGGGCGTGCGATCTAATGACCGAGACAGTGGCACCTGCGGTTAGGGCCATACGAGAAAGCCACGTCAACCTGAGACCTTAGGGAAGGGGAGCCGGGGAATGAGGGCCCCCGCGGTGCCCGCCCCCCGCCCGGCCTCACCCGCAGCTCCCGGGCCGGCGGCGGCTCCTCCGTCCGGCGGTGCCAGCCGCTCCAGATGGTGTAGAACGCCCAGGCCACGGCCAGCGCCAGCAGCAGCAGGGGCAACAGCGGCACCCGCGGTAGCAGGCGGCGCTTGGGCGGTGAGGGTGGCTCCAAGAGGCCGCGTTCTCCGGGCCGTGGCCGGGGCCGCCCGCGGCCCCCGGAACGCATGGCAGCTTCGCCCTGAAACCGGTCCGGGACCGCGGATAGAATTTAGGCCGAGCCAAGTCCCACCCCATGAAATCAGCGGACCAAAGAACAAGAGCGGCTGAACCATCCGACCCTCCTGCCAGCACTGAAGCCAATGGGGACTCCCGCTCTGAGGACACGCCTCCCCGTCTCCCGCGGGCTTTGGGGTTGGTTCCCCCGGAGGGCTGCACAACCCAAAAGGGAGCGCGGAAGGGGTGGACTCCGCCTCAGCGGAGGAGGAGAAGCCAATGAGAAGCGTTTGATCACGTTAAACAGGCGCCCTCCGGGGCGCAGGTCCACGCCCCTCCGGATGTAGGCAGAGGATTGGTTACGCGGAGTCGGAAAGATCAATAGACACGTAAATGACCAGCCCCCGAGGGGAAAGGGGCGGGGTCCATCCCTGAAGCGAGGAGCGGATTCGCTTCGCGGAGGCCGCGCCCCCGGAGGCAGGGCCGGCGGGTATTTGGAAACGGCGTGTCCTTTCCCTCCTTCAACCTGTGCCGTTCTACGACAAAATGGTTTGGGTTGAACCCGCTTTCTTTTCCTCTCCGTGGTCGTGAACATCTGCCCCATAAGGTTCCGAATGGCCTCGAACCACTACGCAACGCTCGTCTCCCGCCGCTGGGCCGGGCGGGCGGGGATCGCTATGGCAACAGGCCACGCCCCCAGTCGCGGGGTTGGGTGTGCGCAGGCGCCCACGGAAGTGGGCTGCCGGAAGCGGAAGTCCCGCCTGTCGCTCTCTCTTTAGAGGCAGAAGCAACGCGGAGAAGACGGGAGTGCGTTGAGAACGCAGTCGCTGCCACCATGTGAGGCCGGGCCGGGCTTAGGTGGCGGGAGTGGGGTTGAGGGTGTGAACTGGGCCGCTTACCGGTGGAAGGGGGTGGGCAGAGCGGGGGGCGGGGGCAGAGAGTTTAGGGTTAAAGTGGCGTACTTTTCTCCTGATGAGTTTGCGCACGGGCGTGGGGCCTTTGGCGGATCCTGACTTCGGGAGAGGGAACGGCTTTATCAGATAACGGGCGAGGGCTTTCCCAAATGCTTAGTCTTGTTGAAATGAATGTTAAGGGGCAGTGATTTTACGAATAAAGAACCTGGGAGAGGGCAGTGCGGACTTGTAGGAATAACGGTTTGAGGTAAGGGACTTAACCGGATCTTATGAGCTTTTCGACCTAATTCGCAACTTTTACGGATAACGAGTCCCCGGAATGATTTGAGTTATTTATTCACTTAGTAATTATTTATTGACTGCGCATGTATCAGGCACTGCTTTAGATACATCAGTGAGTTGTCTCCCTCCCCAAGAAAAAGTCCGCCGCTGCAGCTTGTGGGGTGGGAAGAAGCATAAATGTAATGATGATAAACAGGTAAAGTATATGGTGTGTTAGGTGACCAGGGCTATGGATGAAGAAATAATGGAGCAGCAGAAAAACAATGGGGAATGCCAGTTTTGAGAGACTGAGGGACACAATGAGGAGGCATCACTTGAGCGAAGACCTGAAGAAAGTGAGAGAGCGAACCACAAAGATACCTGGGCGGGGGGGGGGGGGGGGGGGGTGTCTAGACTGAGAGAAAAGCAAATGCAGAGGCCCAGGATGAAAGTTTGCGTGATATCTTCAAGGACCGCAGAGGAGGCCACTGTGGCTGGAAGAGCTAGAAGGGGGCAGATGTAGGGCATTGTAAAAACGTTGGATTTTACTTTTTACACCAAGAAGGGAGCCATGGGAGGGTTTTGAAGAGTGAGATGATATGACTTAAGTCTGGAGAACAGACTGTTGGGGAGCATGGGTGGAGGCAGGGAGACCAGTAAGACCCTAGGAGAGAGATGACGGAGCTTTAGGCCCTGGTAGGAAATGGTCAGATTCTGGATATATTTTATTTTATTGTTTTCTGGATATATTTGAAAGGCCCATGACAGGACTTGCTGACAGATTGAATGTAGGATGTGAGAGAAAGAAAGAGAAGAGTCAGGCCGGTCCCGTGGCGTAGTGGTTAAGTTCAGTGTGCTCTGCTTTGGCGGCTCAGCTTCATGGGTTCAGATCCTGGGCACGGACCTACACCACTCGTCAGCCATGCTGTGGCAGCAACCCACATACAAAATAGAGGAAGATTGGCACAGATGTTAGCTCAGGGCTAATCTTGCTCAGCAAGAAAAAGAGAGAGAGAGGAGTCAAGTTGACCTCGGAGTTTTTGCTTAAAGAGCTAGAAGGGTGGAGGTGCCAGTGACGGAGCTGAGGAAGGCTATGGATAGAGCAGGTCGGGGTGGTTGGGAGATTTGGAGCCCAACCTAAGAGGTGCAGGGTTAGAAATGTCGGTTAGGCAGCCTAATGGTGCTGCCAAGCGAGAAGACTGAGCAGGGGTGGTGGGTGTGTTGGGGCAAGGTCGGGGAGGCCTGAGCACAGGCCATGACCACCCACGCTCCAGCCAGGCCCTCTCACTCACGGGTTCCATGCTTGCCCACTCAGGAGCCTCCTCAACAAGCCCAAGAGTGAGATGACCCCGGAGGAGCTGCAGAAGCGGGAGGAGGAGGAGTTTAACACGGGTCCCCTCTCCGTGCTCACGCAGTCCGTCAAGAACAACACCCAAGTGCTCATTAACTGTCGCAACAACAAGAAGCTCCTGGGCCGCGTGAAGGCCTTCGACAGGTGAGCGCCTGGGTCTTGGGAGGTGTTCTGTCCAGGCCTGGAGAAGCACTGCCAGCTGCCCTGTACGGAGCCGGAATAAAGGGTTTCTCAGAAGCCCGGGGCATAGTATCTCAAAACCCCGAAGTGTGACTGTCCCTTGTTGCCCCTCCAGCTGTGAAGTACAGTGGTTGTGGCCATGTACTTGGCAGCCAGTCCTCCCGGGGTCACGCCCCAACTCTTCCTCTTAGCAGCCATGTGACCTTTGGCAAGTGACTTTCATGCATACAGTGGCAGTGATCATGGTGGTTGCAAAGATTCAGTGACTTAATATAGGTGAAGTATAGTGGGTCATTAGAAGTACCGCATCTGGCGCACAGGATGCTCCTGATCCTTTTTTGCAGTTGTGACATAGCGTGTCCACCCGTGCCAGGTACTGTGTGAGGCTCTGGAGATATAGCAGTGACTAAAACAAACCTGGGTCCTATACTCAGGGAGCTTATGCTGTCGGTAAGAAAGCCAGCAGCAAGCACATAAATAATGTGTCGTAAAGACAGATGATGGCAAGTTGTATGAAGAAAAGTAAAGGTAAGAGGGTGGAGTTCTGAGAAGGGGGTGCTGTCTTAGATGTAATCAGAGAGGTCTGGTCGGAAGAGGCAACAGTGAACAAGTTGAATAAAATGAAGGAGCGAGCGGGGCCAGCCCCGTGGCGTAGTGGTTAAGTCCCGTGCTCTCTGCTTCAGTGGCCCAGGTTTGCAGGTTCAGGTCCCAGGTGCGGACCTACACTACTCGTCAAGCCATGCTGTGGCAGCAGCCCACATAGGAAATAGAGGAAGGTTGGCACAGGTGTTGGGTCAGGGCTAATCTTCCTCAAGCCAAAAAAAAAAAAAAAGAGCAAGATTGGCACAGATGTTAGCTCAGAGCGAATCTTCCTCACCAAAAGAAAAATAAAGGAGCAAGCTAGGGTCTGAGTGTTTCAGGCAGAGGGAATAGCAAGTGATTTTTCCTCTCTGGGCCTCAGTTTCCCTATCTGCAAAATGTGCATCATCATAATACTCCTCATTGTACAGTTGTGCAGATTAAACATTATTATGTATGAGAAATACTTGGCTCAGTACCTAACACATGGTAAATGCTCTGTAAACACAGAACCTGCAACCTTTAGTTAGCATGTGGTTAGTGCTTTCCTCACAGTAGTGTGGTGAGGCTGAAAATTCTAGAACGTTTTTGCCACTAGCTATTGTGTGACCGTGAACAAGTCTTTTGCTCTGAGCCTCAGTTTCCACTTGAGTAAAATGAGAATGAGAACAACAGGAAGGCCGAGCACAAGCAGGCAAATGGACCTGGATTCGAACACAGGCTCTGTGTGACCTTGGCTGAGTCACTTCATCCCACTGGGTTCAGTTTCCTGCTCTCGAGGCTGGTGGTGACACTAATGGTTACCTCCTGCAGGTGAGATGCAGTGAAGGTTGACAGATTAATGTTTGGAATGTGCTTAGAGGTCTGGGTGCTTGGTAAATGCTTAATAGGTGGTGGTATTTTTTTTTTTTAACTTGGCTCTTTTTTCCCTTTTCCTCTAACTTCCTCCTGTGCCTGCATATCAGCCTCCCATGCTAGTACGTGTCCTGCCACGTTTAACTCACGCACATACATCCAAGGGGTCTTGTGTGGTGTTTAATAGAGTCTTCCATATGCTTTTCTTTTTTTCTTGTTTTTTTTAAGGAAGATCAGCCCTGAGCTAACATCCATGCCAATCCTCCTCTTTTTGCTGAGGAAGACTGGCCCTGGGCTAACATCTGTGCCCGTCTTCCTCCACTTTATATGGGACGCCGCCACAGCATGGCCTGACAAGCGGTGCGTCAGTGCGCGCCCGGGATCCGAACCCGGGCCGCCAGCAGCGGAGCATGAGCACTTAACCACTATGCCACCGGGCCGGCCCCTCCATATGCTTTTGTGCATCTTCTTTTTCACACATATCAGTAGTCTGAGGACATTGCTGTGAGTCAGCTAAGGCATTCCTAACCTGACCCCTTATTTATTTACTTAATTACTTATGTCACTTTCCTGAGTGAGCACTGCATGCCGTTGAGGCAAAATTCAAAAGATACAAAAGGCCCCCAGTGAAGAGCAAGTCTTTCCTCCCTGCCCCCCAGTTGCCCTCCCCAGGGACCCCACATGGATGTCTGGAGTCTCCCCTCAGGAGTATTATGTGAACAGAACATCATACATATAGTTACGGGAGGGTGCTTTTATTCTTTTATTTTAAAATCACTGCTAATGGCACACTACATGGTTTTAGACCTTGGCTTTTTCACTTAATATACCCTGGAGATGTTTCCATATTGGTAGACTGGTTTTTTTTTTTTTTAACTTATTTTCTCTGACTTGGTAATATTTGCACATGATCCCAAAAACAGTAATAACGGTCCAGTGAAGTTTCCATCCGGCTCATCCCCAGTCTACCTAGGTCAGCCCGCTGCCACCAATCTCCAGGCGTCTTCTAAGGATTCTGTATTGTACAAGCAAGTGGGTGGTATATACACTTCTACCCCTTTTGTCCTGTAAGATAACTTTACACGCACACTATTCCCTACCTTCCTTTTTCACTCAGTGGTCTCTGCTGGAGGTTACTCCATAGCAAGGCACACAGCTTCCTTGCTCTTCTTAATTTCTTTCTTTTTTTCTTACCACTTGGTAATATTTCCCTGTATCCTTCTATCACTTTCATCTTCCTTCATAGCGGTTACCATCACCTGACCGGATGTTACAGGTCTCCCTGCTCACTTGCTTTGCGTTCTCCCCTCGCTGGAACAGAATGCAGACCTCGTGAGGGCAGGGATAACATCCATTGCATTCATTGCTGTATTCATTGCAAGCATCTGCTATGCGAGCTAATCCAGACTGTCATCACAGGTGCCCACCTGGCACCTTGAAGACAGGGACAAAGCAAGACAGTGGAGACCACTTCGGGCCCAGGGGCCTCTGGGTCTGTGGAGAGGGGAGCCCCTTTGCTGATGTCTCCCGAAATACTGGGAGTTTTAGAAAAAGCACAAGTAGAACCATTTCATTTGCCTTGATCCTGTGCCGGGCCCTGTTCTAAGTACTTGATAAAAACACTGTATTGATGCATTTAATCTTCACACAGCCCTATGAGGCAGGTAGCAGGCATGTCTCCATTCTAGAGAGGAGGAAACTGAGGCACGGAGGGGGCGTGTCAGATGAGGGCCTTGTCAGAAGGCCCCCCCTCACTCCCGGTGCCTCCCCGCCCCCCCAGGCACTGCAACATGGTGCTGGAGAACGTGAAGGAGATGTGGACTGAGGTTCCCAAGAGCGGCAAAGGCAAGAAGAAGTCCAAGCCCGTCAACAAGGACCGCTACATCTCCAAGATGTTCCTGCGCGGAGACTCGGTCATCGTGGTCCTGCGGAACCCGCTCATCGCCGGCAAGTAGGGCCTCCCGCCCGCCGGCGGGACTCGCTCCCTCATCCTGCGAAGACCTGCCCTGTGTGATGGCGATAGTAAAGTCCTGTGTTTTTTCTAGTGGTGCCTGTCTCTTGCCGGGGCCTCGTGAGCGGGGTGGACTCGGGGGAGGGAGGCAGCTGGGTGTGGGGCCGATCGCAGACTGGATCGAGCGACGAGGCCCTGTCCCTGCCCCTCCAGGCCTCACTTTCCCCATCTGCCAAGTGACTAGGTTGGATGGAGAGAGCTTTTGCTCTCTTTTCCCTTTTAGTCTTTTCTAGCTTCTCATCACTCTCTCTCTCTCCTTTCCTGCCTCTCTCTTGATAAGTCGGTCTCACTCACAATTCCTTTTAGTCTTTTTTTCCATTTGTTCAGTCAGGAAACAATCCTCCAAGTGCCTCCTGTGTGCCCAGGCCTGTGTTGGAATGCTGGGGACACAGCAGTGCCCAGGAGAGCCCCTGGTGGCGCTCGCTGACAGGAGGTGGTGATGCACGAATAAAGCAGTTAGTACCCAAATGCTGATGGTGATGATGGGTAACACCTGCTGGGTTGTCAGGGTGCCAGGCCCCAGGTCCCGTGCTGTTCAGACTTCTCCTGACAACTCGGAGCAGGCCTTGTTAGTTAGTTAGTTAGTTATTTTATTTTATTTTATTTATTTATTTAGTGAGGAGATCAGCCCTGAGCTAACATCCATGCCAATCCTGCTCTTTTTGCTGAGGAAGACTGGCCCTGAGCTAACATCCGGGCCCATCTTCCTCCACTTTATATGGGACGCCACCACAGCATGGCCTGACACGCGGTGCGTCGGTGCGCGCCTGGGATCCAAACCCAGGCCGCCAGCAGCGGAGCGCGCACACTTAACCGCTAAGCCACGGGGCCGGCCCCAGGCCCTGTTATTTATTACCTCCATTTTCAGAGGAGGGAACTGAGGCCCGGAGAGGTGATGGCGTTTCCCCAGAGGTACCCAGCAAGGAAGTGGTGATGCTGTGCTTCTTACCTACACTGCTCCTGAGCCTGTGGCTCAGCCCTCAGCTCTGCTGCCCTCACATCACAGCTTAATGACCTTGGAGACAAATTCTCTGACAAACACAGGGAGACAGGTGGGAAGACGGGGGGGGGGGGGGGCTTACTTACTGGGGGCGATTAAGGAAGATCCGTGTCTTCCTCTGATGTGCACACATCACACTCCTCCTTCCCCCTTCCCCCATGTCTCTCTGTGTTCTGTCTCTGCCTGCGTCTCTGTTCTCAGATAGGGCCAAGCGCCAGGCAGGTGCAGGAGTTTGCAGGCCTGAGGTCAGGATCAAATGACATGTCTGACACACACAGGTGACGCTGTGAGTTTCGTTTTTTTTGTGTGTGTGAGGAAGATCAGCCCTGAGCTAACATCTATTGCCAGTCCTCCTCCTTTTTCTCCCCAAAGCCCCAGTAGATAGTTGTATGTCATAATTGCAGATCCTTCTAGTTGCTGTATGTGGGACGCAGCCTCAGCATGGCTGGAGAAGCGGTGCATCGGTGCGCGCCTGGGATCCAAACCCAGGCCGCCAGTAGCAGAGCACGCGCACTTAACCACTAAGCCACAGGGCCGGCCCCCACTGTGAGGTTTTAAAGGCACACATTCACTGAGTGGTCCGCATCTAACTGGAACAACCATCTGAGACATGGATACTAGAACCATCCCATTTTACAGATGAGACACCTGAGGCCCAGAGAGGGTAAGTGACTTGCCCAGGGTCACTCAGGAAACTATGGAGCCATTCAAACCTAGGAACAGGGCCTCATGAGCAGTCTCGACTGCGGGAGCAGGATGGAGCCGCGGTATCCTCATCTGTAAAGCGGGGTGATGGTGCTGCGGTGGAAGACTTCCCCGAGGATTTGGTTCTTGTGCAGGAGTAAGGGCAGCACAAGCCCTGGAGTGTCGGCCCTGAAATCTCGCCCCGTCCCCCATTGTTGACTTGTAACCACCCGGGAAGTGGGAATTGGTTTCCCTGTCTTGCAGGCTGGCTGCAAACGTTCCAGTCCGGCACCCTGCTTGGCATCAATCTGGATTTCCTTCCCCACCTCTTTACCCACCCCACTGCCCAAAGGCTTTCAGGCAGTATCCTAAGAGTAACTCATTGGAATCTCAGGCAGCCCTAGGATGCAGGTACCATCATTATACCCATTTTCCAGAAGTGGAAACTGAGGCACAGAAAAGTTGGAAATTGTCTCCAAGTCACACAGCTCATAAATGGCCAAACTAAGATTTGAACCAGGCTGGTTCCTGCAGCTCTCCTATTCCTACACTACCTTTCTAGAATAGCAGCCCTCAGAAAATGACTGGCACACACACGTGTCATTTTAACTGTATACACTACAAATAGTTAAGTATCAGATCAAGTGAACATTCCCAATTGGGGCAGGGGGGACAGTGGCAGCGTGATGTCAGTGTTCTCGTGGCAACACGTGGCTGAAGCTGGGCGGTGCTACCCTCCAGAGGGTGCAAGGCCACCACAGCCAGCCAGCCACGAGGTCATTTCCCTTTACAGCCTGGCCAAGAAGATTCTCCCATCCCATACACAAAGACACAACTGTTTCTCATGCTTTATTTACAAGGGCCCTGCCCTAGGGCCCCCACCCCCCTAGAACCCACAGGGGCCCCCGCAGGGCCACATGCTTGAAAGGACTCTGAGTTCAGCTGCTCTGGGCTGTATCTGTCCAGGGAGCTGGGGACTCCAAGGGAAATAAAAGACAACACTCAGGGACTAACTGAATCTAAGTGTGTATGTGTGTGGGGGAAGGATTTCGGAGTGAGGGTCTTGGGTGTGTACAGGTGGTCCAGCCACAATGAGGCATCAGCGTTTCCCCCTAATTCTCCCAGGTCCCAGGGGCCGCCAGGAGGGTATTCACACTTCCGGGCTAGCAATGGCCCTGGCCTCTCTGGATGCAGGTGTCAGCTCTGAGGCCTGCCCCGAATTGCCCATGTTTATATCTACACGCAGCATCCTCCTGTCTGGCCTCTAATGCTGTCACATTTCTGTCTCCAACTGTACCTCTCCTGAGGGCTCCAGACCCTTCTCCCCAGCTTACATGTCCAAAGAGCGCTCGGTTCTCCCCGCCCTGAACCCGAGCTCCTGATCTCCTCTCTCCATCCCAAACCTAGGAGTCCTCCTTGACTTCTCTCCTTGCTACACTTTCTTCATGTGATCCATTGGCAAATCCTCAGTTCGACCTTTAAAATAGCTCCAGAATCCAACAGATTCACATCCCAATGAGGCTGCCATGCTGGTCCAGCCACCATACTCCCCCCTGCACTATCCTCCTCACCGGGCTCCCAGCTTCCACCCCTGCCCCTAATAATCTGTTCCCCTACAGGGCAGACAAGGATCTGTTTAAAATATTAGCCCACGAGATGCTCCTGCTAAGAATTGTCAACGCACCTGGAATAAAATCCAAACTCTTGTGCCCCTGCCCACTTCTCTCTCCCCATCTGTTGGCTCTAACTCATCCCACTCCAGCCATGCAGGCTCCTTTGTGTTCCTCAGACACGGCCAAGCTCCTTCCTGCCCCAGGGCCTTTGCAGATGCTGGTCCTTCTACCTAGAATCTTGGCCACCAGGTCTTCCCAAAGCTGTCTCCTTCAGCTCTTTTGGGCATGGCTTAAATGACACCTCCTCGGAGATGCCCTCCCGGACCACCCTAGGCCCCCGTCTAATTTTTCTTCATTAGCCGTTCCACACCATGTGTATATAACTTGATTTGTCTTCACAGTCTGATTCCCTGACTCAATTGTGATCTCCAGGAGAACAGGGCCCTTGTCTTGTTTCCTCCCCCCACCCCATTTCCCCAGCGCCCTCCACACCAGGCCTGGTACACAGTAGGCGCTTAATAAACACGTGCTAACTGAAAGGACACAAGAATCCTGCTCCCTAGCAGTAACTTTCCAAGACCGGGCTGACATCCCCAGGCCCCGGGAGGGTCCCCGAGGACAGAGCGCGGCCGGTGACGACCCGGCCGGGGCCGGAGCCCGAGGGCACGGTCGGGAAGGCGCGCTGCGGGGGCTGGCGCTGCTCCTCGCCGAGGCCGCGGCGCAGGCGGCAGCGGTGCCAGCCGCGGCGGATCTCCGACTGCACCTGCAACGGGACGGCGCTCAGGGCCGGCGCCGGGCGCGCCGTTCCCCGCGCGGCCGCCAGAGGGCGCGGGCGGCGGGCCGGGGCTCTCCCTACCTCCTTGTTGACGAAGCAGTAGAGGACGCTGACCAGGAAGCCCTGCCGGACCAGGCGCAAGTTAAACCGGGGCCGGGGGCAGGAGTAGAAACACCCTCCTAATGAGCCGGGACCCCTGTCAGGCCCCAGACCACCTCAGCTGCCGCCACCCTGGTCCTAGATCACAACGGTCACCTCCCCGGCTCCTGGCTCCCGCCTCGCCCTTGCCGGTTTGCTGTGCAATCAGGACAGGGGACCCTGGAGGGAGGCTGCCAGCACGTGACAACCACCTCCCCAATTTCTTCCCCACCTGGGCAAGCTGCCTAACCCCTCTGTGCCTCAGTTTCTTCATCTGGAAAATGGGGTAATAACACAGCGGTGCTGGTGAGAACTGAAGTATTAATAATACACAAGAAGCTGTAGTGCCTGGCACATAGTGTCAAATCTTTCTTAATCTGATAACTATATAATATTATATGTTATTATTAATAAATTACTTTCAATTAAGACTTAGTTCTGCATTTATACAGTTTATACAAGTTTATACAAGTTTATACATGTTTTACATATAAATTTAATTAAGAAATTACTTGATAAATTAATACAAATCAATTCTTTATGTTATTATTACGATATTATCTTATTATTACTTTTCACGATGCTGTGAAAATCTGACTCTGATCACATCGCTCTGCTCAGAGCCCTCCCACGGCTCCTGCCTCACTCGGAGAAAAAGCCAAAGTCCTCACTTGGCCCAAGAGTGTGCCCGGGTACCTCACCTCTCTGTCCTCTGTCCTATGTCCCCTTGCTCCCGTGGCTCCCTCTGCTTCAGACCCAATGGCCTTCCCCCATTGTGACAGGTACCCTCCTGCCTCAGGGATCTTGCACTTGCTGTTTCTTT